ATATATTTTTTCTTCATCAGTAGGGATGTAACGATTCACTCAACTCACGATTCGATTCACAATTTTGATTTCACGATTAGATTCGAGTTTTTTTTTTTGTTTTTTTTACAAAATGAGATTTAAGACAAATTATAAATTAAATGTGTCCTTTTATTATTGCTTGGACAAAATGCTGCACATTTCTTTGTGAAATTGAAATATAACTATAATAATATACTAATATAGCACTTGCATATTATTGCTCTTTTGTTGGTTTTGATTGCTTCTATTGTCCTCATTTGTAAGTCGCTTTGGATAAAAGCGTCTGCTAAATGAAAATTTTTTAATATAATGTAAATGTAAATAACAAAACTAAATTGACATTTTAAAACAAGCCCCAAATCAAATACATAAGTAACACAAATAAAAGAAATCTCTTCATATAAACAAAATAAGGCTTTCTCTGTGCTCTTTCCATTTAAAATTAGAGGCAACCACTGCATTTTAATCATGATCCAAACAAAGATGCTGCATACATGCAACATGAGCAGATTTTAATCTAAATTAGATTGTATAATTTCGAAATTTGAAGCAAAAACAGAATGGTTTGACTTCAGTTTTGTGAAATAAAACATGAAAATATGATACCGGCATATCCCTAATCCAGACAAAGATGCTGCATACATGCAACATGATCAGTTTTTCATCTAAATTAGCTAATGAAGCAAAAACAGAATGGTTTGACTTCAGTTTTGTGAAACTACGTAAAAAAATCTGCATGAAATAGCAGACGAGCTGAATGAGATGCAGATTCACTCTCTGCCAGCAGGTGGCGCTTAAAGTGTGTCCTTGGTTTCCGCTGTAAACAAAGCAGCGCTGCACTTATGAACTTTAATATGCATTATACAGAGGCAAGATGAAAAGAAAAAATACCATCTAAACTTTTCTACAGACAGTAAGTTCCCCTCAGACATGCATTCATATAAACTCCTACCCCTAAATGAATCGCGATTTGTTTAGCATCTCAGCAGATTTGAATCGTCACATATTTGAATCGATTTTCAACCGGCTCGGTTAATCGTTACATCCCTATTAATCAGTCGATATTGGATATTTAACTGTGGATGTGTAATTTTCCCTTTTTATCTTTAGACTACCTTAGCCATCATCTCACTTAAAGTCTTTAAAAACACACATAATTTAATAACATTGTTAAATGTAATCTTTAGCAAATCTCAAAATTGATATCCAATTTTCATACTGTACATTATATAATTTTGTGATGCCAAAATTCACTTGTATCATTTGAAATGATTTATTTTACTTTTTGGTGTTTTGTTTTTAATTTATATATACAAAATAGTACAAAACCATAATATCAGTTATCAACCAAAAAAACAAAATAGCTTATTGGACAGAATTTTAATATCAGCACATCCCTAAATTAATCTTCATCATCCTTAGATTAAATAACACGAACTCAATTCTTGCCAATTACAGTGACTCTGTAACTGCCATGTAAAAAAAAAAAATCTACAGAAGATCCACTTAAATCAACAGCATCTGAATGAACATCAGTAATTAAGGAGAAATGATTTCCCTAGACAAACCTCATAACAAACACAAACACACCTTCTGGCGAGACTCTTTCCTCCTTTGTGTCACCAGGTAATCAAGGCAAGTGACACATTCTTCCTCTTCACTTTGACTTGTGTGGGAATGAAATGTCTACTACATTCCCTTCATACATCGGAAAGTTTCATGAAGAACAAATAAACACCATCAAAGCCTCACTCATCCTTCCAATTGTTGCTCTGTGCCGTGTTCCCACCTGCCCAACAGGACACCAAAGCCACCACTTATTAAATATTTGGACACTCCAACTGCACGTCAACTGTTTTCACAATAATCAAAGCTGGTCAGGCTCTTCTGAAGCGTGTGGATGAGTATTGTTCTGGTGGTCTGGCTTTGCTCCAGGACTATTCTAGAACAACAAAGCACCTGGGGCCCTCCCCACCACAGATCTGACACAAACTAGGGATGGCTTGATACCACTTTTTCAGAATCGATACCGATCGGATACCAAAAATTCTGAGTATCTGCCGATACCGATATCGATCCGATACCAGCGCAGTTTTTTTAAATGAGTGTAGAATTTATATACCTCAATGTGTAGGTCGATCATCACTCTTTTGTATGTTACACACAATCTACTAAATATAGACAGCTTCATTATAAAGAAAAATAACAAACAAAAAAATATAATCAAAATCTATGACAAAAATACTATTATAAACTAGGTTAATGGATAATTCAGTAGCAAAAGTTACTCTAGAAAAATCATGAGTGCACAATAATTTTATAAAATCCTAAACTTTTAGTGAAAAAAAAAAAACATTATTAGAGAGTTTCATCGTCTTGACTGTCATAACCGAACGTGACACACAGTCCAGCAGAAAATGCCAGTATCGAAGCGATACCGATGCTGAATATCGGATCGGCGCACCCCTAACACAAACCAACTGGAATCCAACCATTAGACACTGTCAACCAACCCAAATTAGTGGGATGATTTACCAGTCTACATTTTATTAATGCATACTGTTCTTCAAGCTCTATGGTTTTTTGAGCTCCATCCACACATTGCGAGTGGCTGGGGTGAGCACCTGTGAAATAAAAGCAAGCTTGCCAGTGCTTTCTCCCTGAGAGAGTCGTGATGATAGCACATTCATTATGTTGGAGCCGGTAGCATCTGTGTCTCGGACACATTCCAATCATATCAGAGATTACCAGGGCCTGGTGTCTGTCAAACAAACACTAGTAGGGTTCACAGTCAGAGGGGAAGAAACCTAAAGTTGTGTCCAAAAAAATCTCTCTGGGAACAAGCAAAGAGCGTCAGATGGTTCCTAAAACTTCACAATGTGATATCTGGGGTCAATCCTACAACTTTCCAATCCCACTTGACAGTCTGCCCCTGTAAAATGACCTACACTTCGAGAAAAACAAAAAATAAAAAGGTGCAAATGATTCATATAATAATATAACAATATAACAATATATTCGATAGGCCTATATTAGGTAATGTTATTAATAGTGATGCACCAAAATGAATGTAATATAGTCCGTATGTTTAACACAATTCTCTTCTGTAGAGTTATTTTTTAGCTGACTACTAAAAAGTTTATGGACATTGAAAGGCAAATGTAATGTTATGTGACATATTGTTTACAAGCTGTTCTATGGACATCTTTTTGCAGTTGAAACATTAAGTGATTACATGAGACATGATACATTTTTGTATACATTTTTTTTATGATACATGATACGTTTCTTCATGTTTATTTCATGCTGTAGCTAGTAAACAAGTTGATCGGTTCACATCTTATTAAAGAGCGTCAAAATGTATAGTTCGATTTTTGTTATAAAATTGACTGAATTTGAAAGCTCAGAGTTTAGTTTCATATCAAAAGTAATATACACAAAGCTTATTGTGATTATTGGATGGTAGGCCCACTGCAAATAATGTTTAGAGAGGTTTTATTTGCACATCATGTATCAATATAAAAAAAGATCGTGGTTCTTGGTTGAACTGAAGATCGATCAAAAACAAAAAATCTATATTGTCTAGCCCTATGATTTACATTTTGGACGAAACGGAAAATAAATTTTCAGACGCCAAAATGTTGGTGCATCACTAGTGGTTATCTAATTAGCACCATTTTAAGTATTGAATGTTTTAAATAAGAACAAATGCAATTTCCTGCCAATAAATATTATTTATTAAAATACATTATATATAAAACATTATTTATATTTTAAATTATTATCATCTGAACATTTTTGGCCGGGTTGATATATCGGTCTATCACTATCATCAATTAATTATTTGTAATGAAATGCTGCTGTGGAAATCTTTCTTCAATACCAGGATGTGACAACAAGCACCTTGAGAGTTAATAATAGTCATGTGGCTTTTTGAAATCCCTTAGCTCTTAACATTTGCCCCACATGGTGTATCCTTCCTTCCATTCTCTGAGCGAAGGCCTGAAACAAGAAACTGGCTCGGTTTCCCTCTTCCTCCCTCTCCAACTGCAAATATTTGGATTAGCTCAAAAGTTAAGAGATATCATTAATAATAAGCCATCTCTTTCAACAGTTCTCTGCAACATTTGGCCAGGCCTGTGCTCTGGAACTGTGAGGATCATCTGAATGAGTTTTTACAGCTTCTGCTTTAGCAGGCCTTAAGTAAACCAGAGGTATAGGCCCGTAGGATCAGCTAAACTTAAGGACCTCCCTGTGTGTTTGTTCTAGATGACCCGAGGTGCCAGGCTGAACTGTAGCCCAAAGTAAACACACTTTGAGTGTCCACTCTCTCTCACTTCAATAGAAGCATCACATGGGAACCCAGTGGGACGTCTGTCCCAGAATGACAATGGTCCCACCACAAAACCCATCTGGACAGCTGGACAGAAACAGTGCTGGTCAATGACGAAAACCACAAATCCACCATTCATTCCCCTCCCAACTAACCCTGTGAAAACATACACAGCTCCTGATTTGAGGAACTATATCATGTATCTTTTCAGATTACTTTCACTTCACTACAGCTGACCACAGAACTGGGAAGAAAATGTGTCAAATTTCATACCACTTTTCAGCTGAATTTTGTGTTTTGCGGAAAAGAATCTAATAGGAAACAACTTTTGTGACACGTTATCACTTCTTATGTACTTTAGCTATGGCTGCCAGCGTCCTTGGCGAGTCAAAACAAAATTTAGCCAAGCCATTGTTGGTGATTTTCAACTTTCTACATCATTCTACAATATAAACAGAGAAAATTCATTCAATAAACATCCAAAATATTCCATTCACAACACACCTGACTGTACACATGCCCATACCTCAACACCCTTTACAACATGAACACCAACATTCAAGCTGTAGCTCATCAATATTAGACAACAAAATACCTCAAATACCTAGATATCTCACAAAACTGTTATTCATAAATCTCAGAGTACCTCCATATCCACTGTACATGTTGCAATGTCGTCTTCTGATGAATGCTGAAAAAAACAAGACGTATTCCTCTGTTTTTTCTTAAGCCTCTTCAAAGCAAATGAGTAGTAGAAAGAACAATCACAGCTCCAGCTGTGGTGGTCTTCATCCTCTACTCATACTCACAGCACTGGCAGAAAGAGAAAGAGAGAAGCTGCCAGGAAATGGGAAAGCCATCGCCCTCTACACACCCCACTCTTCCCCCTCGTTCTGTTTCCCGTTCACTTCCGTCTGACATCACACTCTTCCTGCCTCTCCCTTTTCCAGCAAAGGGCCTGCACTTTGTTTCTTAATGATAAACACCCAGTGCATACTCACTCCAGAAGTATCCAGCTTCCAAACTGTTAATAATGAATCTAATCCTGTTATATTTACATAATGTGGTCACTCTGTATATGAATAGCATGAAACACTGACTTGAACAGTGGTGGAACATCTTTCAAAAGATGTTAGCCTCAGGTTATGCTTAATTGAAACTAGAGATGCACCGATTGCAATTTTCTTGGCCGATTCCGATTTCCGATTTTTTGTTAGTGTGATCTGCCGATACCGATTTTTGCCGATTCCGATTTTCTTTCCAAGAACTATAATTGACAGCATATACAAACAAAAATCTACTTTTCTTCAACGCAAAGTTTTATTTTCATTAAA